TGTTGTATGCGTTGATTATATGGATGTGAAAGAAGCGAGAGAGGCGTGTCAGCATCGTGCCAAATGGAGGTTCGTAGTCTCTGCCTACCCCTCTGGGTGACAGGCGTGACAGTTTATGTATGTATGTACACTAGTACCGCCTGTGGTCGAAATTCCATTATTAATTAAATTTTTAATATTGTATACTAGCTGTGCCCCGCGACTTCGCCTGCGTGGAATTTACTACGATTTCATGGATATCAATTTTTTTGCGCGGAACCCTAATTTTGTTTTTGAGTAATGTTACCATCGTATAAATATTGAAAAATATTGACATTAATATTTATACGATACTAACGTCACTCAATTGTTTTGTCTTCCCGGAACCCCTCCACTAACACTTAAACTTTATGGTATGGTATTAAAGTTCAAATTGACTTTTAAGTATTATTACGAATCTTTTGTATGGGAATATAGAAAAGTGTTGTTTTTAGACTTTTTCAGGCAATTTTTTTTAAACTTTTCTCTCCGTAAGAACTATCTTCCTACTTCAAGGAATATTATAAAAAAAGAATTAGCGAAATCGGTTCAGCTGCTCTCGAGATTTGCGCTTAGCAGCTTAGCAACACATTCAGCGATTCATTTTTATACAATGATATTATATATAAAATTATATAATTGATTTCCACTTTAAACTGCATATTTTATAAAACACAGATAAGCGTTTTTTTGACTTGAAATACACTCCACAATCTATTGAAAAAGGAACATTCGAAATCAATTTAAATTCACAGCTCATTCAGTCAATGTGTCGGTAAATAATTGCTGGCAATATTTTAAAATTCTTTAGCGACAATCTCTACTCTGTGCGACTGTTTGACAACAGCTTATTACGTGTTTGACATTGGCATTATGAGAGTAAACAATTAATGTTCTATTTATTAATAATTTAATGTCCTTGTAACACATGTAGTGTTACTTTTTGGATTTCTTTTTCATATAAACTTGTACTATGCCAAATCTCAAACTACTCCGTGCGCTCAATATGCTTAAAAGGTGTACAAAGTTTGCCCTTCATGTAATTATATATGTTTATTACAAATATTATTACTTACATGGTAGAGCCATGCTGCAGCTTTATTACTGGTATAGTCGTAGCATGAATAGGTCGGCTCGACCGGGGAAGGACCACGCTCTTACAGAATACCAGCGTAAAATAGCAGTTCAATGCTGCTTTGTTTCGTATGGTGAGTGTAGAGAACCGGAGAACCTTTTTAGTGGAAACGGGGCATTCCATCTTAGTTCTCATGGATGACAACGCATCTGCATTTTGATTCGTAATCGAGGATAGATGTGGATGTAAATGGGCCACAGCAACCACTTACCATCAGGTGGATTGTGTGCTCGCTTGTCACCCTTATCCTATAAAAAAACCTTTACAATTAGGTATTATTATTATCTTTTTTAAAAACTTTTAAATAATTTGGAGCCTACTTCTAAAAACTGAATATTGCATAATAATAGTTACATAAAGAAATATTTAATTTCTTAGTATCAAATCTTTACCTAATTTATATGGAGTTCTTGAAAATGGACAACGATATATGAACCAATATTCATGCGACATGTAATCGTGATCTTATGAATACTTTTACATCTAATAAGTAGGTATGACCTGTATCTTACAACGACTCTTTGTAACATGCAGGTTCTACTTACTAATAAGTGAACCGGCATCGGGGCAAGCGCAGCCGGGCACAGGCGCACTATGAATTATTAATGTTGCGTATTCCCGCCCGCCGCGCCGGCTGTTTAGTATGCGCTTGTGGTTGTATAGGATTGTTTAGTATTTTCTGGGAAGTGAGCTTTAAATATAATATTATTCAGGCGACAACCATGTGGTCTGGAAATGGATTTTTATAATTTGAATAACAAAAAAATTAAACTGCCTTTGTACTATATTAATAGTACATACTACCTTAGCCAGACTAGTACTGCATTAGTAGAACGTTAAGAGCTTTTAAAAACGTTATATCGTTATAGACTACTAAAAGTTCACTGTTGAACCTAGGGCTCCACCATAGATTGCCTAATAGGGGAAATATTTGCCATAGTTACCACGCATGGCAGACGGGCAACCACAGTTTTTATTTGTTAGTTGTTATTAGGAAGTCGCTGGTACCTTCTAGTTTGTTTACGTCTATCGCCTCTTACGAGTATCACACGATGATATGAGTTAGTGGACAAAGATGGAATGCCTTATTACCAGCAAAAAGGTTCCAAGTATCGTTGTATATTTTTCAACACATATCCGAAGATCGGCGCTGGAATGACAAATGTCAACATGTTTTACGCATTACATCGTAAAGTGCACAAGATTCAATATTTGTTGTTTACACTCAGTTTTCGTTTCACAACAAAGAGGCAATGTTAAAAGACAGCTTGTATAGAATGGTTGACTTCCTTTATTGTTTTGTTTTGTGTTATGCGGGTCGACGGCTGAGGGATGTTTGTGGATTGATGGCTTACAAAGAGAGAGAGCGAGATAGAGAGAGAAAGACAAGACAATTTTTCGTTTGGATTTTATCGAGAGCTTCATTATCGAGTGGCATGGAAAGTAGCGAGGAAAGGGGGCAGAGACTTTAAGCATAATACTCGTCGTACTCGACATGCTACTCGTCATGCCCTTTGATCCCTGTTTTGTCGGCTTTTTGAGCGCAAGTCAAAGGACTGGCCGGCAACATAATCGTTCGGACGCAGTCCAAATCGATCGCGCTCGTTACGGAAGCGTCGTTCTATTGCAATGAATACATGTCATCCTCCATGTCCGTTGGTGAGGATGACGATGTATCTTTTTGTGACATTGATATAATTAGCCATACTAAATATGCATATAGCTCGCACGCTGCCACAGTTTCAACATCTATTGTGTTGCAAACACAAGCAACCTAGTGCCGAGTGTCGCTTTCTTCTTCTTGATAACTGGCTTTACGGCTCTGGGATCTAGCCCTTCTGAGTCTGAAGTTACAATATATAATTATTCTTCATAGTATACTGCTTCACAATATCTTTGATGCATCACATTGTGCAGCCCTTGGGAGATTTTGACGGTAACTTGAGCCAGCAGACAGCTGACGGTTGGCGATGGTATCTCAAGGCGCCTAAGCAGACAGGCACCTTATTTTGAGAATCACATCACTATCAGAGCACTTGTTTCACAGTTTCCAATAATAGTTCACATGCGCAGATACTTAATACACAATAACGCACCACTTTTACATATCAAAGTCCACTTATTACATTATTTAAACAATAAAACAGGAGCAACAAACCGCCGCCGGTCAAGTTCCCGCCAAAACTCCGCCGAGTGTCGCGATCTATGGTCGCGATTAATTGCTCGAGTAGAGCAGTGTGTGGGAAGAGAGGCTAAAATCGCGGCAGTACGAGTAGCAGAGCGGTGAGCAGCACGAGGACATAGGTCTATAGGCCTCTGCTGTTTCAAGTTCAAGTTCAAGCGTTGTAATCGCCATGATTGGCAGTTGCACCAGGTTATACGTCAGATGACTTTTTAACTTCGGGATAAAACACGGATATATGTGAGGGATATATAGTAGAAATGTATATGACGTAGTAAGTAGAAGCGTATAACGTAGATATTTTCATTTTTTATTGACATAATATGTTCTATAATTATATAATTAATATCTGAATAAATACTACATATTTAAGTAAACTTTTACACATTATATTATATCGACGGTAAAAAAGTCAACCAGCATAGTATGTAGAGGTACTCTTTATGTGAGTATGTGACTAATATATTTTTTTCTTGAACTTTCAATACGATATAGTTTTCAACAGAAATAAGAAAGAAAAGGAATGAAGGGCTTATATTTTTTTACTGTCGTGAGGTTGTGTAAAAAATTATCTTATAAATTTTTGTACACGATATTAATAATCATAATATTTTTATTATTATTTATTCATCATCATCATTACAGCCCTTCACAAGTCCATTGCTGAACATAGGCCTCCCCCAAGGAATGTCACAAAGCACGGTCCTGAGCCACCTGCATCCGTCGACTTCATGTCTTATTACCAGGTCGTTATTCCATCTAGCGAGGGGTCGCCCTACACAATTATTTATTCATTTCATTATATGTAATAAAACAGTTTATAAATACCTAATAATAATAATAATAAAAATAATAATCGTTTTTTTAAAGCCTACTTACAAATTTATTTATTGGACATAAAATGATAAATGAGCATAAAGGCCAAACAGATGACCTCCAATTTCCTTTGTCTATCGACACCTTCATGAAAAGAGTAAACATTGTGTACAAGACATTCTTTGTAAACAGAATGCTTAGCGCTAAGGATAACGAGTGTATTAAACGTATGGGATCATGCGGAAGTACGAGTTAATCTGAAGTTAATTTAAGGTTAGCGTGACAGTTTAGAGAATATACGGAAATAATGTAATTAGCTTACTTATTAGTATTTTGCTTATACGGCGTGTTAGTGGGAAATTCTTATCATTTTTAATGATTATAGAGACATTGGCTGCGTGTATGTGAATGCAATAAAGTACTACAAAGTCCATGTAGTGCCGGTGTAAGAATATTCGCTACCCCATATCATCTCGTGGGCGTATTAAGAGGCGACAGAGGGAAACTAAATTAGGAGATGGATAGCAGTATATTCCTGACTAACTATCCGCCCCGGTTTCCCACGGGTGTTTTCTGAATCCAGACAACAGCGCCACCTACCGGGTATAAATGTAAACCTAAACATCTAGGGACCCATTCGAACACACACAAAAAATTTCATCAAAATTGGTCGAGCCGTTTTTAATTGCTATGGTTATGATAATAACTCGATACGATGAATATGTACCTCCTCTAAAACAACTGCAAATATCCATCGACTATTTAAATGATTGGCATAGGCCGGCTGGTTGACACATCGACTTATGACGTATTAAAGGATATTTTTCTGTTCGTTCCAGGGTCGGCACGATGTTGCAGCAGATCCTGCGCGACATGTGGGTGGACCCGGAGATCCTCGCAGAACTCGACGAGACGCAAAAGCAAACACTCTTCTGCAAAATGCGTGAGGAACAGGTAAATCTCATTAGAGATATATTTTCGTATAGGTTACTTGTTATTCCCTATTTATATATATTTGCTCATACAATAAATAATGATCTTATTAATGGTATATAAAACAAACTCGCTTCCCGCCGTCTGTACCGTTAGATATCTTAAACTACGCTATGGATTTTGATCATCAATAGATAGAATGCTTCAAGAGGAAGGTTTGTATGTATTACATATGTATATTATTATTATTATATATTATATAATTCTTCCGTCCGTGGTATGTGACTGAACTCCTCAACGGCTGGACCGATTTTGATAAAAATTTTAACCATCGATTAAACAAAACAAAACATCATGACATGATAGGTACCTATTGCAAGTCAAATTTTGTAATAGATTAGGTTAATCGCTCGTCTGTCCCGCCTTTTGTGGGCCATTTTGATAGCCCTTGCAAGTGCAGTGCAGTGTTTTACTTAATTCCTGTTTTCTTCTATTATATGGGAATAAAGACGTGGTTTGTACTCAGACCAAATAAAAGTGACTTTTTATTTCGTCTGAGGGTTTGAACAAAAAATATAACAAAAAGTTTTTCTCATCTAAGCTTATATTATAATATCTATATAACATTAGTGCTAAAAGCGAAGTAATAAACTCGCTTTTACGAATCCGTATTCCATAATGCCTTTTCAATAAAATTCGGAATAAAAGTCAACAATCGTAATGATAACTTGAAAAATTTCGAAATTAACTAGTTAGTACACAGCACATAACCTAGTTCTTTGACCTAGTGACGTCACGACGCTATTTAATATGGCGGACATCGTTTTGCAGATTTGAGGCACAGGTAAAAAAATTATTCTTTAAATTGAAATGTAAAATTTATAATGCATTTTTATAAATAGAAATTAATATTTCTCGTTTACTTTTTACAAAATCTATCATAAATATATATTCTTTGATTTTTTTTACATGGTGTAAAATACCCTATTGAACCCGGTAGGTGACGTTGTTGTCGAGATCCAGAAATCTACCGTGCGAAGTCGGGGCGGATCGCGTCTTAATAATAAACAAATTAAAGCACTTGTACTATAACCCACTCACAGCCGTGTAGTGGCAGTGTAAAAATATCCAATATCCCATATCGTCCCGTTATTTTCGCAAGAGGTGACAGAAGGAAATGAAGCAGAAAATCGGCAGAAGCATCTTCGTTATAACGAATCAAAAAAAAAAGCCAAGCGAGGCAACTACGTTAAATGTACCCTCTATGAGGCAATCTATGGGAAAGGCGTATACGCCTCATTCGCCGTATTCGCCTGACTATAATAAGCTGTATTATTAAAGGTATAGTCCACTCGATAATTGGGTTCAGGAAAGAATTCAAAGAGCCGATCTATTCATTTTCACCTCATATCTTAAAAATGTCTCTTTTTTATATAGGATAAGGATGACAAACGAGCACACAGTCCACCTGATGGTAAATGGTTGCTGTGACCCATAGACATCTACATTTATCCTCAATTACGTATCAAAATGCAGATGCGTTGTCACCCGTGAGGATTAAGATGGAATACCTCGTTTCCAGTAAAAAGTGTCTCCGGTTCTCTACACTCACCTGCTATTTTACGCTGGTATTCTGTGAGAGTGTGGTCCTTTTCCGGTCGAGCTGATCCATTCGTGTTACAACTATACCAGAAATATAGCTGCAGCATGGCTCTACCATGTATAAAAATCGGTTGCATCCGCAGCCTTCTTTGCTTGAAGTTGCCTGCAGGTGTGCACTGCAGTATTCACTTACCATCAAGTGGTCTGTAAGTTAGTTTATCACTTCAGTTTTATTAAAAAAAAATGTATAGATGCCTAATGTATACTATGTATACATTGATTAAAAGGTTGAGGAGTTTTGGCGGGAACTTGACCGGCGGTGGATTACTACTCCTGTATTATTGTTTAAATAATGGTTTTAAATGAATTTTGACATGTAAAAGTGGTGCGATTTTGTGTATTAAATGTCTGCGTATGTGAACTATTAATGGAAACGGTTAAATAAGTGCTCTGGTGGTGATGTGAATCTTAAGTTAAGGTGTCTGTCTTCTTAAGGGCCTTGGGATAATATCGCCAACTATCTGCTGGCTCAAGTTCAAAATCAGTTCAAAATCTCCCAAAAAACTACGCAATGTAACGCATTAACATGGCTTATAGGACAAGCATCCAAGCCAAAAATTTTAATTTTTTTATTAAAAGGTTGACATTGGACTAATTGTAAAAATGGATATAAGTAAGAAGTATTTTCCTTGTAACAAAAGTTGTAGTCAATTCCCATTCATATATATTTGTTTTTGATTCTTAATAGTAACATTTGAAAAAAAAAATCACTTCACTGGTAGAGTACCTACTACACGTCAACAGTACCCATTGACACTTGACCCTAATATTAGATACTTCATTTCAATCACTAGAATCAGTCCCGCGAGATTCAAGTATATCATGTGTATACTGTATATTTGGGGTATATAGGGCATAATATGTACGATGACCGGTGTGAGTGAGGCCGCTCTACTTCTATTATGCCTTATGTGTGCCTTACGCGTGGCTACGCTATGTTCCCCGGCTGACGTTCTATACTCATGCCCTACTCAGGCTTTACTCTAAAAGGATGCATATTATTGTTTTACACCTTTATAACAACGTAGAAATAAAAACGTAGCAATTTTCAATAACCTTGTAACAATGAGTGTAACTAATCTTGGATTATTTTGGATACAAGTATTACGGAAAAGCTCGCTGATTGTGTCCATCAATGCGTGACTCAGTCGCTTTGTCAAGTAAAGCAACTTGCACACGACACTGAAATATGATAATTTAAAAAAGAAATAAAATAAAAAAGAAATGTAATATGATAATTTAAAAAAAAATAGTACTTTGTATCGTTTTTAAATTTGGATATCAAAATGTTAGTTCGTAAATAAATACTACTGAGAACTATGTAAGGCGACAGTATCCATACCATCTCGTGGACTGTGTGCTCTTTTCTACAGACTTCAAACAGGAGGAGGTACTCAATTCGCCTGTATGTTTTTTTTATGTGTGTTAGCCTCATAATGTTTTTTTGGGTGAAACGATTTCGATGATCCTTTTTTATTTGAAAGCTGGTGCTTCACATGTGTTCCCATATAAATTTGACTAAGGTCTGACCAATAGTTTTTGAGTTATTCTTATTAATTTATTAATATAAATTATCAAGAATAGCTCAAAAACTATTGTTCATTGTTATTCGGCTAAAAGGCTACACCTTTAACCGTAAAATTAACTGATAGGCTGTTTTATTACCTCAGACCAACAAAGGATGTGTTAGACGGAGTGTTGCGTAAATTTCAAGGGACGCCGAAACCATGCTCAACGTCTTGACACGCACTCACTCAAACATTATTCTTCTTTCTTTAACGCTTTTCTCCTTTATTTAGCTTGTAAAAGTCTGTGGCGGCGCTGTCGTCGCGCCACAAGCGAAACACATCGAAGCCTAAATCGCACTAACAAAGTTCCGAAGTTAAAGCGGCATATATAGAATAGCTCCGAACTACCACTCGGAGCGTTGGCCGCTCCCCGGGCAGAACACCTTGCCCGGCGGGAGATCTCCTCTTTTCCTTCCACTTCCACCCGCCACAAGTCCATTGCTGGACGCCCACGTGCATCTTAAACCATGTTATTGGTTGTAAATGATTCTAAATGCGTATAAAGAGTACGTGACTGCGATTTCTCAAGTAAGTGAAGCATGGTTTTGGCTTGGTTACGGCGTCACTTGAAATGTACGTAGCGCTTCGTAGATCTTTCTTTGTTGGTGTTATTTATAACTTGTTGTTTTTTTTTCTATTATTAACCAAAAATCACATACACAGAAAATACAGTAAACGACAAAATTTTTAAATACCCTATATTAAAATAAATATTATTATGACAGGTACTATACCTATGCATGTAATAAAATTTAGGTGTCTCTCCGTAATATCGAAAATATTTCCTTAAATTGAGATGAGGGGGTTATTTGCATACCTTTAAAATATGAATAACTATTTTTAACGTGGTAGAGCCATGCTGCAGCTATATTAGTAGTATAGTTGTAGCACGAATGGGTCGGCTCGACCGCGGAAGGACCACGCTCTCACACAATACCAGCGTAAAATAGCAGCTTAACACTGCTGTGTTTCGTATGGTGAGTGTAGAGAACCGGAGACCCTTTTTACTGGTAAAAGAGGCACACCATCTTAGTCCTCACGGGTGAAAACACATCTGCATTTTGATTCTTTATTAAGGATAGATGTAGATGTCTATGGATCACAGCAACCACTTACCATCAGGTGAACTGTGTGCTCGTTTGACCAATCCTATAAAAATATTCTAAAACTGTACATCTGTCTGTGCAAGCTAATCTTCGGTATGGCTGAAACGATTATAATGAAACTTGACGAATAGACAGAGCAGTGCAAGAAGCGATCTAGTTCTAGGCTATCCATTTAAAAAAATGGACAATTGGAACAATAAATGGTCTTAAATTATAAACAACGCCACATTAATAGAACCTACCAAAGTGAAGCCGGGGCGCTTCGCTAGTCGTTCATAAATAACTCGTGGATTTGGGCTGCATTGTACTGACAGCTTTATAGTCGCGGCAATTACCACATCCTTTGCGATTTCACGCCATTTTCACGCCGAAGTTTTTTTTTTTTAGTTAATTTTGGTTTTCTAACAATAAATAACAATCACGTGTTATTTTTATAAAAAAGGCTCAAGGACATATCGAGTGATTTGTTTCATTTTATGCAACCAATAAGATTTATTTTCAATTTGGCGGTAGGCAACAAACAACGATTTTTCACTAAGCTTTAATTGTGATAAATTGTTATTTTTTATTCTCTGTTTTTATAACTGTTGGTGCAGATCGTATTTAAATTATAAAATTAAAAAAAAAGCTTTAACAACATTATACATCATTCATCATTAGGTATGATGATTTTAGTAAGCATACA